GAAAAATAGGAGCAAGCCTCCTCGGAGGGTAAGGCCCTGGAGGCAGAGTTCAAGGACTCCTTCATCTGAATGAAAAGAAGAAAGAAACTTCCACAAATGGTGAGACCCCGCGGGTGCATACGGTCCTTAGCAATGATGAAGCTGAACCAATCGAGCGGGTCAGCCAAATTGCTCCCTAGGTGTCGGAGCTATCAAGGTCTTTCAAACAAAAAAAAAAAGAAAAGAGAAAATGCATGTAATGAAATGCAAGTACTTATAAAAAGGTTCATTTCAAAAGAGGGGCTTTGCATCCCCGAGAACTACAAGAGAAAAGAAGTACAGTTCAAAGAAAGAAAAAAATTTCATCTAGCCCCAGGCATATCCAACACATCGCTACAGGGCGAATCAACGCAAAAAGGTTGAGCAACTTCGAAAACAGGCAGAGCTGAGACTGAATCAACAGCAGGAAGAGTCTGAGGAATATTGTGGTCGGGGGCTAAGTCCGGCAAGACCTCGTCGGATGGAACCAGAATCACTGCCTCGGGCGGGTCTGCCAAAATTTGCATCGGCGTTGAAGTCGCACCCTCGGCAGGAATCTCGGCCTCGGCTTGTGCCATGTCTGCCGATGGCACGTAACTGTGCATCATAAAGAATTGGGAGTCTGGAAGGACACCGGCAGCCCGGAGCACCTCGTCCCACCCCTTCTTGAAAAACTCCTTGTTGTTCTTCTCGAGGGCAAGCAGCACGTCGTCGACAAACTTCTCTCGGATTTGCTCCTCGAACTTCCTGTTCTCTGCCTCGGCCCTGATCTTGTCCAGCTCCTGTGTCAGAGCCAGACAGTTCTCCTCTGACCCTATTGCCCTCTCCTCTGCCGCAGAGAGCCGCTGCGTCTGCTGCGTGATCCTCCCCTCAGCGTCGGCCAAGGCAACACTTAGTTTTTCAGCGCTGACCTTCACCGATTCGCCATCCTTGAGGAGTTGCTCAATCTGAGCAGCCTGTCCCGCGAGGGTGGAGTCCCTGTCAACTACATCTTCCTTAGCACTAGCCAGGGCTCCCTCGGCCTCTTCCTTCAGTTCTTGGGTCCGCTGGAGGTCCATCTTAGCTGCATGATATCGCGCAGTGATTATGGAAATCTGTTGGGTGGCCTGCGAGGAAAAGGACTTGTCAATTAAAAGTGACACGGCAAGAAAAGACTGAAGCAAAGATGAACTTACCACCAGAGAATTCTGAATGATGGAACGGAACAACGTGTTCGTTGTCCGCCCCCTATGAGCCTCCATGTCGGCCTCGAAATGGAGTGTCTCGCTCACTGCGTTGGCGATGTGGGGGTCCTGCAGAATGGAATCATTGACCCTGATCACCCGGTTCATATGGTCAGTGGCCCGAGGATTCCACTCTGCGGCTTCTACCCATCTGCGGAGGGGGAGTTGGAGTCTGTCTCTGCTGTTGTTGTTGTTGTTGCCGCTGCTGCTGTTGTTGTTGTACCCTCTGTTGCGGCTGTTGTTGTTGGGATGGAGAGGGTAACCCACGACCTCTCCCGCTTGGCTATTGAGCGGAGGAAGCCCTGGATCCCCTGCCCGGGCCGTCGTGCCTTTGCTTGATCCTCCTCTCTTCCTTGACTTGAGGATCTCGGTCCCACACTTGACCCCGACCAGTGGGCCTCGGAGACGGGGGGTTGGCACTGGTACCTGTTGATGGGGCGCTACTGGCAGACCCCCGTCCTTTCTCGGTGGCAAGGGCCTGTCTCTGCCTTAGGAATCCCAGGTCGATGCAAGGCGTGTGCGACATGGCTACCTCGAGGGCGTCTTCTGTGTCTAGCGACTGAAGGATGTAGAAATCGGGCCATGAATCTCTCCCTGAAGTCCCCACCTCGGCGTGCGAAGGAACTAAAACCTCTCTGGCCCCGAACTCCTCAACGTCACGGACACCCTCTACTTCCGCCTCGATAGCCCTGTCGGGGTCTTCCTCCAAGTTCTCCTCGGCCTCTTGTTGCGCAACCTGATCGAAGAGTTCAGACCACCGCGATGGCTCGAAAGGCTGGGGGAGCTGTGAGAACTTTTTATATCCAGGAGTGTAGTTGAGGAGGATGTGAGCAGCCCGGCCGAACCCGTCGTCGCCAACAAATTTCCAAACAGTGACAAAGTCAGTAAAGTTCACCAAGGACCGAGAGGGAGGGGCAACTTCCCAGGCGGGGACGTCTGCACAAGAGAGAATGTTATTAACACTTCTAAAAAAAAAATTCCAAGGACAAAAATAATAGACTCAGGGAGACCGAAGTACTTGTCGTTCTCCATTCAAAGGGGCACATCAGGCCACTGTACTCGGGACTGGTCCCCCGCTGCCAAGATCCACTAAAGATCAGAATGTCATCCTTGTATCCTTTGTCCGAGCTAGAGAGGTGAGTTACAAGGTACATGGAGGGATCCCTGGCTTTGAGGTAGAAATTCTGCTGAGGCATGACCCTCAACAGGGAGTAGCAAAAAAGGATATCGTTGAGCCCAACGTTTACCCTGAGACGGTTGTTAAGCTCTAAGACCCCCATTATTATCCTAAATACGTTAAGGCAACACTGTCCCGGGAAGAGTCTAAAATGAGCGAGGAACTGGAGGAGTAGAGGAGGTAGGGGGAACCTAACTCCACCCTCTATGATTGCCTTGGTGAAGAATGGCATCTCATCCTCGGCCCCGACAATGCGGTTGTGCAAAATTGGGTCGTACTCATCTATACCTACGTTTGGGGGAATGCGGTATTGAGTCCTAAACCTATTAATCTGCTCCTCTCCCTTCACTTTGTACTTCCCGGGCCTCGAGGAAATGGTCTGGGAATCCTCGGTGACAGGCCAACGTCGGGGTATCTCTAAAGAAGACAAAAACTAAAGAAGAATGACAGTTTTTTTATGAAGATCCCCTAGGGGTTTCCTGAAGGTGGGTCACAGAACGACAAATCAGAAACACCTCCGGTTATCGGAGAATCAAAAAACAAAAAAAAAAAAAAAGAAAGAAGAGAAGAAGAGACAGAAGGGCGGAGAGAAGGAAAATACAAGGACTCACCAGAACTTGAACGAAGGTTTTCTTCAAAACTTTGAGTGGTTCCTTCCTCTAGGAGGTTCAGAAGCAAGGATGGGTCTGTTGGCCTTAAGACTCCGGTGAAGATTAGTTTGTAGACAACGTAAGGAAGTGGGTCTCCGACGAGATTTCAGACGAGGGCTCTCTAAAGAGTTCGAAATGGCGAAGTGTGAGAAGGAAAGAGAGAATCCATTTATATAGTACCCATCCCCATCATTGGGCACGAAGCATGAAGAGACACATTTAGTGCGCACGACCTCCTAAGCGGAGGAAAGCGGCTAGAGGCAATGATGAAGTGGTTGGGGTAGTTGCAAAACCCTTCGTCTCCTTACGACCCGTGTTCTCGGTGTCAAAAGATCGAAGGCTGGGGGCAGTTGATGGGACATTTTCCAGACACTCCAAGATAGCGACACGTGTACTCGGTGTCAAGAAATACTCTCTGCTGTGATCACGACACGTGTTTGTCAGATCATGATCCTTCTTCCCCCGAGATGGTACTATGCATAAGGATCTACGACGCTGGTATGCACGGGCAACACGTATTCCTCGGTCGATTGGGGGGGTGGGTACATTGGCCCTGACCGTACTAGGCCTTCGGCACCGATGTGTACCCACTACGTAAGCGTTCCTGTTCCTACAAGGCTATTGATAGACAAGTCATTAGTCTGAGCTAGGCTAGATTAGTCATCATGACCTGGTCTTACCTAGATGGTGTCATGACGCACAGGAAAGCAGAAGGCTCAACCAAAAGAGAGCTGGCACGTGGCATACTGTGTCAGATCAGAGGCGAAAAGACCAGAATGCCCTTGCTGACACACGACTTGAGAAAACAAGTATTTAATGCACCTTTCCTTTAATGAGACAGCATTTAATGCGTGAAGACCCGGAAGTGAAAGACAAGGAATGATCCTGTGACAGAGCATTTAATATATCTCAGCCGAGTGAAGGTCATTAAATGCTCAATAGACCGAAGGTGATGCATTGGTTGCTCGGGGTCCCGAGCAGTTAAGGAAGAGGTCATTTCTCCTAAAAACCAGTGTGCACGTTACCCGCCACTAATGATCACCTACTGATCATACTGACAGCAATCATGAGTTTTTAAGGTATAAATACTCTTCACAAAACGCATGATGAGGTACGCAAAAAACTTTTCTCAAACCTATACACAGTGTTTTCTTCGTCCCCTCTCTCAAAGAACTGGCTTGATCGTCAGAAGGGATACGCCGAAAAACACTCTGGCGCCCTCCTAACTCGTTTTTCTCTGTTCTAGGAATCTTCCCTAGCCTTACAGGACCACCCCGGTGACCCACAAAAGTCACCCATTACCGTTCCAGGCTACCACCAGTCTTCACAGTCTATTCCGCCCAGCAAGGTTGACCATTCGATTGACTGACTCGTGTTCACCACGGAAGAGATCTGTTCTCGTATTTATATTGTGTAAAATCCTGCACGCACAAAACCTGTGGAATTTTGAACTGTCTTTTCTCCTCCAAAACCATCAATTTCTTCTTTATAGATAAAGTTTTGTTCTGTGTAGCTTGATATGATTCATCAGTTCCAAGATTCAGGATAATTTTTGAAGAAGGGTTTAATTTGTGTGATTTTGAATGGATATTAAGCAACAACTTTTAGTGGATAATGAGGTTGATTATCGACCTTGCTTGGTGATTAGGGGCCACTTTTTCCCCACAATTAGATGTCAAATCAATGTTTTCTTGTGAAAAGCAGGTCCCATTTGCTGCTTTAGATAATTTCAGTCCATAAAAGGGCGTGTCCATTTTTAGAAGCTGCAAGAGTAATTATTTGTATATTTAGTAAAAAGAATGTATTAAATGCACGAGACTTCAGTTATTATGAGATCTTAAACGTACGACAACTTTCCACTGCATCGGGTTAGATTGCACACTTATTATGGGCCAAATTATCCTTGTGCAATTTGGGCATGACTACCTTTATCTCGCGAATACAAAACCATCAAACCAATATCTAATCCAAAAACTAAATCTGATAAAGAGATGTGCAAATGTATGCATTAAGTATTTAGAGCAATTAGTGATTTAACAAAAACAACAGAAAAGGAAGATTTTATTCTTGGGCTACAAACCTGTGGAATTTTGAACTGTCATTTCCCCACTAAAACCATTAATTTCTTCTTTATGAACTTCTCTTGCACTAAAATCAATCCACCACTAATCTCTCCTTTGCAGTTTCAGTTCTTTGCCAACCTCCTGTTTCTTCTCTCCACCAAGAAAAACCCAAACAAGGACACCAAAGAAAAAGCAGAGAAGCAAATAGAGGCAGTGTCAATGGACATATGACGCCCACTGATCCCTTCAATTTCAAACAGATTGTTTTTCTTCTTAGCATCTGTTGTTTGGCCAAAAGCAACCTCCTCGCCGGCCGAATTATATGCATAAGCTCTCACAAAATAGGCAGCAGTAGGAACATCTCTCTCGATTTGCCCCTCGAAACTCTGGTTGTTTCCATAAGGTTTGTTAACGATGGTAAATTGGCAGGTCTTGTCCTTGCTGAGGTTGTCCGAGGTTTTCCGCCATTTTCGGTCTACCTGGCTGTTGGGTGCATAGCAGAGCTTCACCTTCACAGACTTATATAGATCATCTGTTCCTGGTCCTAAACTCTGGTTCAATCCCCATGTCACAGTTATACTGTCCTCTCCAGCTTTTAAGACTGCAAAAGGTATCATTTATAATTAAGTAATGGCAGGATTGGAAATTGCTAAATTTAATGTAACAAACACTTAAAAGGAAGGTCCAATTTATTAACCCCTAAATCATCAATTCATCAATACAGAATTGGAATTCGATACAACTCGTAATTTTCATTCTAATGTCATTCTACGTTCCGTGTCAACCATGAGTGTCACTTGAATCATGAATTACTCAAAGACGTCTTGATTGACTTGGTTCAATTATCTGATTCATCGCCATCGACTCACGTGAATCTCTCGTCATATTCAACTTCTACTTTTATGTATTATTTTGACTGTATCATCTTACACTATCTCTAATTCCATCTATTATTTTGTCTATATCACATGATATTGTTATGCAACGTAGCATTTAATGTATCTCAAACGTCATAGAACAAATGATCAATATCACAATCCTGAATTATGTTACAAAGGGATTGGAATTTCTGTAAATAGACTTCAAAGGGCTATGTAAATGAACATATTACCTTGGCTTTCTCTGGGAGAAGCAGTGACGGCAAGAGTTTGTTGAAGGGAAGAGAATAGCCCACCTCCATAACAAGTCTCCACTAAGCAGAAGAGAAGAAGAGAAGTTTTGAGAAGATAATAAGACTCCATGTGTATTCTTCTCTGTGCAAATTTACGGACAAGATGAGAAAGTCAATTACAAGCTTTAAGGCAGTTGAGGAGGAAGAAGGATTCAACACTTCCACTCAATACAAGTGGGCTCAAAAGTCAATGCATCCACACATAAGGCACAGCCTTCGATGACCAATAAGAAAGAGATGGCCCGTATTTTAAGTTTCCTTACAAATTTGGTATAGTCAAAGGGTAACAAAATTTAAACCCGTCACCTTAAGATTCAATAGCGGGAGTGGTAGTCATTAGACCAACTGTCATTCTCAGACGAGTTTTGCATTTGCTAAGCCATCATTAATTCCTTAGAACCTGGCTTTTACAGTTGACCCATTCACTCATTTTGAAATCGCATAATAAGACCCTATTCTTTTGGAGTTTATGCTTGCCAACCCTGTTTCTCATGTTTTTGTCGGCACTTGACACTATTAAACTTTCAAAAAATAGCATTTTAAACGTGGTTGAAAGTATCGCTCGATTTCGATAATGACTCATTAACTTTTATTTTGATATCTTTTTGTTTTTCATATTTATCACGAAGTTCACTCTACAACAATCAACTCGGAGACATCCTAGTTTACTTGGCTTAGTCGTTCGAATCGAGTCGATCCTTCAAATCATCGTCATCGACTCGTAGTGTATTGCCAAATATTATTTTACGATGTTGTAATATAACTTGAATCGTTTCGTCGTATTTAAGCCTACACCCAATGTCCAAGCCTCAATCTTAGAACAAGAATCAGGCATTTTGTACGCTGCTTTCACTTTGGTTGAATTGTCAATTTCATTTTTCATTTTCAGTGAGAAAAACACATGTTAAACCCTGTTGAAAACAAAATGCTTTGAATTGCTTTGATAATTAGCATATTGGAGAAACATTGTTCGCATAAGAATTGTATTTACTAAACACCCAGAAAAAAAATCTCAAGAAAAGAGAACACTTGGGTTATATTTTTGATTTTATTAAAAATAGTAGGTGACTTATATTCACTAAACTCAAAATACAATGGACTAGTTGGCATGCTTAGCGGAGCGAAGAATAAGTTTAGGAGGTGTACTCTTCCTGCAGTATGATATGTGTATATTAAGATTTTTTGATTTATATATAGTAGAGGAGTTTTACTATAATTGGGTGAATCAAATTTATCGGTACTAAGTTTTTTAGTTGAACTCGGATTAGGGTTGTTAACTGATACCTATAAATATGTTATAACCATATGAATTATGGTACATAGTGAAACATAGTTGCTCTCATAGGAAAAAAAATATTCATTACAACGACGATACTGGTACCACCAACCAATAATATATTAAAAAAAAAAAATAATTGGACCCACAAAAATTAATAACTAATCCTACATGTAAACAAATAATTACCCACTTTTCCTCCATGTAAGGTAATAATTATTCAAGGAGGGTTCACCTTGCCATTTAATATTTTATTATTGGTTGGTGATACCACATCAGCAGTGCTGACATGATATCACCGTTGCATTGAATATTTTTTCTTCTTGTAGACGTATTTAGAATTTCTATCGAGTTACATAAATCTCGTGTTTTTGTTTTTGATTATTTTCATTTCACTCTCTACATTCACAACAGTTTTTTCTCTATAAATATTCAAAGAACAAAAAATAACATTTGGAGGACTAACATCAATGTCGAAGTTAATGTCCATCAAGATCCCATTTAGGAGGAGAGAAGGGAGGGTGGCATGGGCAACTTATACCAATTTGTGTGTGTGTGACTTAACATGAAAGAATTAGCTTGCAAGATGCTTCCCCCTTGACTCCAAGTAGTAAATGACAGTTGTTCTCCAGCAATACATGTTAGAGAGTCTCTCTGGTTGCCTTAGGAAACACAGTTTCATGTATTACCAAAACAGAGTGATTCCTATTTTGTGCAAAAGTGCAAGAAAGATAAACAAAAAATGACATCCAACTGGGAGATCAATAAACATGGAAAATGACAGACACGGTACTCTCTTGAAAGATTGAAATGCCGGTTAATCAGTTTTAGTACTAATTTGAGTAAAAGATTGAGGTATAAAGTAAGTTACGATCGTACCATAAAATGATAAAATATAATAATTGAGACAAAACTTTGTCAAATTATATAATAGTCCTCTAATAACAACAATTCATGATATTACAAGAACATCCAAGAGATTTCTATTACTTTAATGGGCATAGGGTTTGTATTCTACCAACCTCACGTACTATAAATATATGGTGCAGTCCATTTGACAATGTTACACTACATAAATGAAAAAGAAAATTTAGATACCCTGAATTTGAATTTGACAATTTTTTATGGTCAATATATGAGATATTATCACTATTAAATACCCTAGTTCCGATGTGGATAACCTGCTTTTGACCGGATTGGAGAGAAAATTTATCGATGTGCGCATAAATTGCTCTGAACACCCCTAATTGTTAAAAAAAAAAGGAAAGAGAGAGAAAACACCAAACCACATAGTGACTGCCCAATGGGAAAATTCTATACCACAATTTAAAGCTAAAAGCATAGACTTACACATGAAGTATTCCATTGGCACAATAATTTGCATAAAGAAAAGAACAAAAGTTAGATCACTGTCCCCACCTACCATCAAATAAATACATTCCTCGAACTATAGGTGGGCAAGCAACAAGAATCATTCAACACCACTAATAGTTTTAGGTTGCTTTTGCACAAGCATCTATTGTTTTTTTCAAGATTTTTATAATGTACTTTTTATATATTAGTTGACTAAAACCCCCCATATTCCAAGTTCTTTTGCCACATTTCCTTAGAGAGAAGTTTGAAGATCTGATCCAACCAAAAAAAAAAAACACATTGAAAATGCTAAAAGGTAGACTAACTTAGCTTTTTAGCCACTAACTTTGGGCTAACCAAAGGTCCAAAAGTGGGTGAGGAAGGCTTCAATACAAACTTATAGTGGGGAGAGGTAGTATGTAAGAAATATATGGGCATCTACCTGATAAGAGGCACAAAAGTAAGCAAAACTTTGCTTCATGGAGAGAAAGACTTGGTCATTAAGACTTTAATCATACCTATCAGCAAGGCAGGCCTCCTATAAACCCTACTAATTAGAAAGTCGTCATGAGCGAGAAAGTCGATGAAAAGATTATTTCATAATCGACTATTATTGTCAAATCAAGGAGACTTGGCTTATGCTAGACTTTAAAAGAATTTTCTTTGATGGAGCGATGTTTCTATTTTTTTGGGTATGCTTCTTTTTATGTATAACATTGCAAAGAGGGATTAAGCCCGGATTTTCAAGTTCATCATATGACTAGAGTCACTGTTTCAAATAGTTGAAGCAATTCAAGTATATGATGTGGTCAGTTACCTATTATATTACACTAAAATTAATTAGGATCCGTATATTATTTGATGAATTTATGGTTATTGATCGTAAAAAAA